GGTGGACTTGTGAGATCTACAATAAAGGTATGAAGTCGTGGAATGCTCCCGGCTATGCCCTACCCTATAAGGTGGTCTATATAATAACAAGTCTCTAAATACCTTTATAGACACGCTTCCAAGTCATCTACGTTTATTATTATTATTATTGTTATTTCTAACCCTAACCCTTTATAACACTCTTCGCTACTATTACTAACCTTTATTAGATTATTGATTGAAGCTTACACACTAACACAGACCAATAAATCTTATATAAAGCTTCACCTAGAAAGGTATTTCATATTCTATCTAATCCCATACCCTATTTCTTTTCCCTTATCAATCTCTATATTTATCCAAATATACGCTAGAATACTAACTTTCATTCTCCTTCTCCTCAGCCTCCTGCTCTATGGCAATGATTCAGACCTGACTGTCATTGCTGCTGATCGCCAATATGCCTTACACCACATCCACGTCTGCCGCCGTTCCAACCCGTTTCTCTCCTTCTGCAATCTCAAGCGGGAACATCAGCTCAACGCCTCCGCTACCCCAAAACCCGCCCAACAACCCAACAACCTCTGTGCTGGAACCCTCGACCTCTCCTCTGACCACCCGCAAGCTGTCAGCTGCCTTCTTCAGTTCCTCTATCTTGATGACTACCTTCCTTCTAAGGTCACACAGTTGCCTTATAAATCTACGGACCATCACCAAGAAGAGGACAGTCCCTCACCTTCTCCCAACAAAGACCATGCCAATCCGGTCGAGGAACATGCCACTCCACTTCTCATATCCCTCCGCTTCTGCTGCATGCAAAGGTCTATGCACTTGCCGACTGCTACGACATCCCCGACCTGAAGCAGCTTGCCCTCCGCAAGTTCAACGCTATCGTCCCAGAGAGGTGGTCAGATATCAGAGACGTTCCTGCCTTCCTAGCTCTCGTCCGCGAGGTTTATACATCAACGAACGATTCTAATCCAGAATTACGTAATGTTGTTGCTAAGGTATTCCATGAGCATATAAAGCAACTCATTCAGGTTCAGGAAGCAAACGATCTTCTGGTGGAGAACGGGGTTATAGGCAGAGACATCGCTCGTCAATCAGCTTCATAATAGGCATCTTTATAAACAACCTTCCCTCCCTTCCTATCCTGCTCTAACAGGTTGCTATATTATGATACCAATGAAGCGAAAGCTTAGGCTATCCATCCCAGCTATTTATAAACCATCAGCTGTGCCAATCAATCACGGCGTAACTCACTTACTAAATCGTCAAATCTTGTTCAAGCACCGTTGCATTCCATCGCACATACCTCAAGTCGCTATAAGTTTTATCCGAGACATCCATCATAAAACGCTGCCACCTAGCTTCCCTTCTCCTCTCAGAATTGCTCCTCCTTTTTTATTCATACTACACCATAAACAAAACCTTCATCCAGACTTTATTAGGGGACAGCGACCAAAAATAATGTCGGACGAGGACAAAATGAAACTAGACCCCGCCTTACTAGCTGAAAGTATCAATACACTGACCAAGCAACTTGCTCTTCTCGAAAAAGAACCCATGATACATATTGCGCAAGCTTTAGTAGTAATACAAACCGAGCTAAGCAAAACCAAAGAAGAGTTGGCAGCCACAAAGCATATGGTTCAAATCCTCAGGTCCTCCATCTCACTATACACAGTCTTTCTCACAGAACAGAGTCAGTAGCTAACCCTTAGCATACAAGCAAAAGTGATCGCATTGGCTCTATATCACCGAAGCCGTGTGCGTACCGAGTGGCGAGGCCAAATCCTTTTATGGAATCAACTAAGAACGAGAACAAGAAAGAGGAAGAGGAAGAGGAAGACAGTTCTTCTTTTTCTTCTATGCCTAGTCCGTTCAATTAAAAAGAAATGGCCACCGGTTTATAACTAGAACAATATTGACGATTGTAAGTCGGGCTATTATATATCTGCTTTAAGCACGCAAAATAGGAAACTGGCTAACTATTCTAAAAGCTGCCCACCCTCGTTCACAATACAACTAGCCCGCACAAGCTTTTCTAATAACTAAACTATAGCGTATATCCATATAACCTGCTATATTATACGCTAACCCAAATAATAAAGATTGAAAATTACTACATCCTTTACCATTATCTCGTATAATATATAAGTAAGCATAGTTAACATAATTACTTTACCTATGCAGCTGCCACCAACTCCTTTTTTTTTCTTATTTTTTTTTTTTTTTTTTTTTTTTTTTTCATGCTTAATTGAAAATCCTTCTCAACTTTTTATTTTACTAGCAATTATTTCCACAGCTTATGTATATATCTTTAGAACACTAAAGCCCAGACTAGTTTACCCTATAATTAGCCTAATTGTTTACACGTTGTATTATTTTACTTACTAAAGGGAATTTGCTTGAAGTAAGTTTACATATATTAAATGTTTAAAATCTAATACACACACACACACACACACAATTTATTACGCCCGGTGGAGTCTCCTCCAATAGGGCAACTATCAATCTGTGTTACATAAATGGCCCTCAAGTTATGACTTTTCCTCATCGTAACCCATATATTGGCACAATCTAATTCTGGCTCTTCCTTGTTGATGTCCTGCCTCTCTACGGTTTCTCACGCGTTAGGTATTGATCATCCGCAGGCTAGCTTGGAGTTATTTCTCCAAGTGTTCAACGTCCTATCTACGGCAGCTGAAGCGGCGCCAGCTTGAAGTGGCATGAGGTGAAATAAAAGGTGTTGGGTGAAGGTGATGAGAGTTAGTTATCGAGACGGCCTGTGGCCATTACAAACCGTATTGTTGCTCGTACAGCGCTCATATTTGGCCCCCACTTGGGCCCGTCTGACGGCGATTTTCCTCCCAAGTAAAACGAGAGGTTTCCTCTTTTTGTATCCGTACACCGGGTCATCGCTTCTCGGTGCTCGGTCCATTTGCTACATCTGAAAAGAAAGTGTGCCACTGTCTCTCGTTCTCTGCCGCAGCTGCATTGATCTGATGCCAACCTCTTGATTTGATATAGATAATTGTTTAGTGAAGACATACCTGTTCTCAGCTGGGCCAGAACGCTGCGTTCTTTCCATGACAGTTCGTCGTAAAGCAGCCGAGTGTGACTGCCAGGCAGTGCCGCGTCTATGCTCTTGGCGTGTTTACCGACTTTCTCCGGTATACATCGTTCCGCTTCCAACTTTTGTTTTTGAATGTTCAGCGTTGTAGACCGCATTCTAGGGAATTGTCGTTGTGGCGTGGCTCCGTCCTTGGTCGCCTTGCGTGCCTCAGTCTTGGCTACCATCACCAATTCATTCTCATCGCTTGCGGGGATCCATTCGATTGCCACTCTGTTCCCTCTTCCACGTAGCTTTTCTATAGCCTCGTAGATCAACCGCATATATATCTGGCCTGATTGCTGCCGTGGGTTACCGAGGCTCATCACAACCGCTCTGTTGCTTGTTATCACAGCCACGTTACGATCTGCGATTGTCTGCTACAGTGAAAGGCGGAATCCGTGTCCCTAAATTTTTTAGTTAAGTATTTTAGGAGGGGCACCATTAGTCCACAAGCGGCCAACAGGCAATACTTAACTTGTACTTCCATGTACCTCTCTAAAATGACATAACAAGGGACAAAGAGCCGATTCTTGCTCATCCCGTCTGTGCACTCATAAAGTATATAACGATAGCTTAGCTTAGGTCCCTTGGCGATGCTTAAAATCTCACAGTCTCTAGTGGGTGGTACTTTAGATTTACAGATTCAGAATGAATGCCCTATTCTGGCAGCTGCAACAATCAGCCTTAAATGTGAATCATGCAATGCCGCTTAATTGGCGGCAGACGCCACCTAAATCGGCGGCTACTCCCCTGTTATTAATGGCGTCAGGGGCAAATGCATAAATGCAGCCTTCAACCCCATAAATCTGATTGCATTTACACCTAAGAATCTACGCTTATAGCAACACATCAAGCACAGCTCATTGTGTTCAGAAAATAATATTTTGTCGTCCATCTTGCAGTATGTATGTGGGCAGCTGAAGAGCGCAATGTTCATAGAATCCCGTAGAAAGTCGTAGAAAGGATACGTGGCCACAATTTCCGGGTGGGGGAAGCTGTTGGGCGCTGGCAGGGGTGGGTAGGTGCTGGTGGTCGAGTGTCTGCGTAATGCACCGTATGGCGAGAGTCGAGCTGCTGCGACGGCCTGCTCATAACTCCTGCTATCACCCCAAGGCAGAATCATGGAAGAAACGATTGATCTTGACTGGTATTTGAACAGTCAAAATCTTAATTATGGAACTCCTGTGCCGCCAACGCCTGGGAGCTCGAGTGCTACGCAGCATGCCGAAGAGAACGCAGGTCCGCGTCGCCATGCGACATTACCGCTTCTGCGTCGGTCAAACTGGGAAAAGGAAAGGTTATATGACATAAACAATCCTGTTTGCATCCATTATGACATCCAGTGGAAAGTATCCCAATATAACGGCCAAAAGAAGAGAGCCAGTGAGGTTTGGAGGCGCCAAGAACGCAATCTTGTATTAGCGCCTGGCGACTATTAGGAAGAATGTCTTAGGGGAAAGATTGACGAATTTGTAAACGAAAAACTGGGAGAAAACGACTACATACGCGAAGAAGCTAACGTAACTATATCGATCAAAAACAGCCGCGAACATGGCTTTAAGGAGGAGTATCATGACAAGCCAATCGATTGGGATGAAGTGAACGATCACCTCGCGGGCCTTGGTCATCTATTTGAGAAAGGAAGAAAGATCAGTATCGATATCGACCTTGCCTACAGAGAAATTGTTCGCGACACCGCATCGACCGATAATAGAGGCAAGAAAAGAACGGTATCGGAGAGGCGTAGGGAAGAAATGGAAGCAGAGGCGGGCATTTATCGCAGTGTTTATAAAAAACTTCGATGCGATGGTGAGGACTGCAAGTCAGGGCCACACTGCGCCGTCGATGCACAAGGCAACCATTTCGAGTTAATACCTTACTACATTGAAAAGATTGTCGATTTTGTTCGGAACGGAGGGTATTTCGGAGGACCTCGAGATCTGCCGGCCGAAATATGGCAAGCGCTATACAAGGATGCTGCAGCGAAGAAAAAGACACCTACAAATAAGTGTGGTCGGTGTTCAGGCAATATGCAGGCACCTCAGGCAGGTTCATCCTCGCAGGCTGAAGCTACGCCACAGGCTCCATCGCCCATCTTCTTTCAGGGAAAGTGGGATGAGCTCCTCCAACAGTATGATGCATACCTTGTCGAGCAAGTCGACTGTTCTGACTGGAAGAAAGCGCTCAGCAATGCAAGTAAGGTTGCACGTAAACTCTTCTTAGAGCTCTCATTTAGCCACGCTCATCAGAAATTCGCAAGTAATAAGCTGATCGCGAGTGGTGTGCCCCCGTCTATTGCTGGACAATGGACTGGAAATATCAAGGCATTTTACGAGAAAGTAATGGCAGATTCCACATAATACAGACGCTAGGCGGAAGTAATTTTCTTTAGTATCTGAAGTATCGATATAATATGCTATGCTATGCTTAAGTTGGTGATGGTTCAACGTAGATCCTTGCATGACGGAAATGAGCCTCTGCTAGCTTTGCGCTGCTCCCAACAACATCAACACACCATTCCAAGTACATCTTGAACTCCCGTCTAATGAACTCTCTATTTCTATGCCATTTCTTCCTGATGAACTTTTTGAGTACGCCGAAATATTCCTCAATCGGATCGAAATCCGGGGAATAAGGTGACAGTGGTTCCACTAAGACGCCTGCATCTGCGCACATCTTTATCATCTTCGGGGAGAAGTGCCATGATGCATTATCCATGACTAGTACTGACTTAGGTTCTGGATACCTGCCACAGTGCTGCAGGAGTTGCTCGATAAACAAATCGAATAAATGAGTATCTGTTGACCCTTTGTAAACCCATCTTTTAATAACACCACCTTGCCAATAAGCTGGTAAGATATTCCATCGTGTGCCGCGACTGAACGGTGACACTTGCACTGGTGTCTTCCCTTTTGGAGCAAGACCATATCGGCGGTTGCCAATAGTTTTATCGCAGCCAGATTCATCAATGAAAATGAGTTGCCAGGATTTGTATTTAGAAATCCTATGTAGGTAGTGATCGCGAAGATCGGGGTTCCGTTGGAGAGCGATGCGGCGAGATACTTTTCTCGTCCAGTTTATGGACTCCAGAGTACGGCCGATCGATCTCTCTGATACAATTACATCAAATTTATCCTTGAAGTAATCTATTATCTCGCTTCTTTCCCTATCCGACCGTATGTCTAGAATTTCACGCAGTGCGACACGCATGGCTGGTGTGATCTTGCTCGGCCGGCCGACGGGATTTGATCTCGCTATTGGCATGGTAGTTGACAGCGATTCTTCCAGATGGATACGTTGGACGGTACGCCTACTGCAGCCAGCGACTGTGGCAATAATTCCCTTCCTAAACTGCTTATTCAGTAAGACTTTCACCAAGGTGCGCCGGGCAGCCGACAAATGCGGAGCCATGACTTTAAGACCAGCCAAGAAACGCCTCTTCACATAGGTGGTTGAAGAGAAGAGAGGGAAAGAGAGCAAGAGGGTACAGTTAGGAGCGAAATGGGCGTCCTGTTTACGTTTTCTAAAAATTTCTAAGCACGGACCATCTATACTTTGAGCTACTTATGCGTACTGGCCGTAGTATGATATTAGTATGCAAGCTAAGGTACTGTAAGGGTGCCTTGAAGTATACTGTGATCAGGCAGCTTACGCTCTTGTAGACAGTGCACACATGACCAATGAGTACGAAATTATCTAGCTTAGTTACATACGTGAAAATTGAAGGACCACTGAGTGGGCTAGACCCCTTCGCTACGAGTGGGCCGCCCAAACTCAAACGTGGCTGGATCGTTCCTGGCTTCTCTCCATTCTTCATTAGAAACTATGGGTGACGACGACTGCGTAAATGAATGGTTTACAGACAATGAGATACACTCTCAGCTTTGCGATATTCCGACTCCTGCGCGCCAGCGGAGTCCATCTTTATGGAGCCAAGGATGTGACGAACAACCCTCCCGGGGGTCGCTGCCATTTGTACCGCTAGCTAACTGGAATCCCAACCGCTTGCAATATGACAAAGAGTGTTACATACATTACGAACTGGAATGGAAGTTGACAGTGAATAATAGACAGGTTGCGAAGCAAACCCAGCAGGACCTAGTGCTAGCGCCAGGTGACTTTTGGAATGAGACCCTAATGTCAAGACTGGATGTGCTTGTTCGAAAAACCCGAGTAAGCAAGCCATGCGCGGCTGATGCGACCACGATAGTTATGTCCGTTACCGAGCGCTCCGAGCGGAATGTAACGAAGCGATTCGATGAGATAAAGGTTGATTGGCTGGTTGTGGAGAGGCAGTTGCAAACATGGAGCCACCTCACCCGCAACGGACGAAAGCTGATAATCAAGGTCACGTTCAACTACGTAGAGACTAAAACAGCTGGCCCTGCTGGACAGGGCTCTACTAGCGGCTAGCTTGCTGAGAGGCAAGCTCGACGTGATGCCGAAAAGGCTGTTCTAGGCCGCACAGCTGCCTGGGAGCATGTATTTGCTGTTTTTAGTTGCCCAGGTGCTCCGTGTGATCGAGGCCCTTATTGCTGGCAAGACCCTAGTACTAAAAAGCACTACAAGCTTATGGGACATCAGCTGAGAGATCTTGTCAAGCAAGTGCAAAGGGGCGAGAGTATAGAAAGACACGAAGATATGCCTGGAGAGATTCGCGATAAGTTATATGCTGAGGAGCAACAGCAGTAGTCTCGGAAGCGAAAGCGAGCCAATTCAGGCTCTTACGCCAGTAATCTTCCTGCTATACATATCCATAATGTTATACCTGGTCAGCTTGATACAGCCTCTGCTCATTCTAGCGTGGGGTCTACGCCTACAGCGACATCCTTGCGTTGCACTCTGGAAGGTCTAGGAATGCGAGACGATGTAGCGGAGGAATATTTTGCATGGCATGGTTCACGAGTTAGAAGACAGGCACTTAAAGAAGAGTATGACCGGGCTTGCGAGCTGGCACTTGGCAAGGGTCTTGATTTGGAACTAATTCATGTTCAAGAGGGTGTGTATCAATTCCTTACCGACCATGGCATAATGGAGGGTCCAGCGCGACGTGTTGTCCGTGATGTTGAGATTTTTCTTGATCAGCAACGGTAAGGACAATTGACTCAGGAGAAAGCAATGCATCTCTAGAGTCTTAACAGAAATATAATGCTATTTACAACCATCTCAGTCATAAAATGGCTAAAGCGAAAAAAATTCTTAGATGGGTATATATGCTTGAAATTAACTACATGCTGTACATGTGAGGCATATGCGTATTCAGCCTTCCGGGTAGGAAATGCTTTTCGCTCTAGAGTTGGCCAGTAGGCAGCAAGAGGCACGTTATCGTTCCGTGATTTCAGCCCGCCACGACATTTGCTCCGGATCTTACTCTGGTTCCGTTGATATGTATCAAATCTGTATATGCGACGTAAAATTTACCTTCTGTTTTAGCTTAGTTCGGGCCGTTCCATGTGGATTGATTCTTGCTTGCCTATCGGCGCTAGTAACTAGAACCGCCCACGTTGAAATAGCAGCCACCTTAGTGCCGCTTTTATGTAGTTCAACTCGGCATCACAGCCTATTAATAGACTTATTCTTATATTAAATTTCACCTACACCCTTGATTTACTAGATGACTGTAATCTCACACTATCTTGTTAATCCCCCGATGGCTATCTATCATGGTACTGGCCACTCTCGATGTTGTTGGAGGTCCACTGTCAGGCTTAGTGTGGTGCCATATGGGAGTTGATTGGTTGACAGCTTTCAGTTGGGTTACTCAGCTTGTGCCAGCTTTAGTTGGACGGGCAGCGACCAGCGCCCTACTTTTCCCCTCTTTTCTACTCTCTCAAACCTCTTCAGCGTCAAACTCCCACCTTCCAAACTTCTCAGCCGGTCGTCACCAGTACACCAGTTTTTATACTAAATATTCTATCGGTCGGGCCCGCTCGAGAATCAACACTTCATAACGCCTGTCCCAGTCGCTCGTACAACCTTTTTTCTTTTTCCTCTTTTCTTTTGACAAATGACATGGCCGAAGTCGGGGTGCCAAAAAATACTCAGGCACAAACTCTCGAAGCTGCGACGAACCCGACTCTGAATCGACTGTATAATAGCAAAACTTTCCGTATTCGAGGGGTGCCGCTTGCTTGGGACTTGAAACAGCTGCAAGGTTTCTTGCAAACGTTCACCGGTGATACAAAGCCACGAGTCTCGTCTCTGGCCTTGGAAGTCAACAAGCGCTCTCAGACTGCTACAGTAACCTTCATGAAAGCTTCTCAACAGCTCCAGGATAGGAAGATTTGGCATATACTGGTTTCATCTGATCTGGATCAGATCGAAGATGATTCTATTCATCTTGATGATGGTTTCGCTGGGATTACGACGCTCTATAGGCCGCCACCTGATGAACATATTATCGAGTGAGTAGATCAGGATTCTGAATCTATAAATACTAATTGCCCTAGTATTATCGCAATTTCCGGAATCGGCGATCACGCTTTTGGGTCGTTCAAAGAGAGAGGCGGTAACTACATGTGGCTACGAGATGCTCTGCCTAGGGATATTCCAACAGCTCGCATAATGATCTACGGCTATAATTCTACCATTGCGAATAGTACAAGTATGCAGAATTTGGAAGACTTTGCAACATCATTCCGTGACTCGCTCCTACCGTTGATTAGGAGTGACTCCATCAGACCCATCATCTTCATTGACCACAGCCTCGGAGGGCTGATTGTCAAACAAGTAAGAAAGTGAATCATCACTACGTAGCTAATTACTAAATATATAACAAACCCTAACAATACTGTCTAAATCTCAGAGGGAGGCCGATATTAAGTTAATACGAGCAGTATACGGGATTGTGTTCTTTGGAGTCCCAAACCATGGCATGGATATCACTTCACTTATACCAATGGCTCTTGTAGACAGTGCAGATACAGCTAATGAAGACAAATATCCCTAGTCTAGCTACATATTTCAATAATCTGCTCACCACTGCTGTAATTACCCACCCTAGCATTATCACAATACGTATTAAGATATTAATAGGTTGCACCACACAACTGGCAATCATATCAGAATAAAATCTACCTATTGAGCACTGTGTATTCAATATGGATCTTTAATTTAGAGTCTATAAGATAGCTATGATGTCGCAATCGCCACACTCTAAATTTAACAAGAGTTAGTCATAAAATAAAGGTATAAATAAACCCAGTCTCCTTTAACCCTCCTCAGCAAAGTTATTATATAAGAGAAGAGGCTTAAGCACTTACTTTGATGACCTAAGTGTCCCCTATTATTGCATAGAGGTCGAAAACGCAATAACCAAGACTCTCCCTGACTTACAGCCAACTACTACAGTTGAGTTACTCACAGCGCTGCACGCTGGCCGATATTCCACTGGCAGCCAGAGCAGGTTGTTTCCATTCCACGTAACCCATTCATCGCTAAATCCATAGCCAGTAGCATGAAAAATATAATTACTTCCTGTCGTAGTGAATGCGCCCATGTCCGTAATAAGCTGTACATGAGTAGGTTTAAACGATAGGCGAGATCTACCCCCAATATTGAGTGTCTGTAGGCACTCGCCCGTGTCGGCTCGCCATAGCCGTACCGTCTTGTCGTCTGAGGCTGATGCCACCAGCGACGAGTCGGGTGAGAAGGCTACTGACTGAACTGACTTACTATGGCCCTCGAGTGTCTGCACGCACTCGCCCGTGTCAGCTCGCCATAGCCGTACCGTCTTATCCTCTGAGGCTGATGTCACCAGCGACGAGTCGGGTGAGAAGGACACAGACCGGACTGACTCACTATGGCCCTCGAATTTCTGCACGCACTCGCCCGTGTCAGCGCGCCATAGCCGTACCGTCTTATCGTTTGAGGCTGATGCTACCAGTAATGAGTCGGGTGAGAAGGTCACAGACCAAACCGTGACGCTATGGCCCTCGAGTGTCTGCACGCACTCGCCCGTGTCAGCGCGCCATAGCCGTACCGTCTTATCGCATGAGGCTGATGCCACCAGCGACGAGTTGGGCGAGAAGGCCACGGACAGAACCCAGTGGCTATGGCCTTCGAGTGTCTGCACGCACTCGCCCGTGTCAGCGCGCCATAACCGTATTGTCTTATCGCCTGAGGCTGATGCCACCAGCGTCGAGTCGGGTGAGAAGACCACGGACCGAACCGCGTCGCTATAGCCCTCGAATGTATGTACGCACTCGCCCGCGTCAGCGCGCCATAGCCGTACCGTCTTGTCGTATGAGGTTGATGCCACCAGTGTCGAGTCGGGCGAGAAGGCTACGGACTCAACCGAGCTGCTATGGCCTTCGAGTGTTTGCACGCACTCGCCCGTGTCAGCGCGCCATAGCCGTACTGTTTTGTCTGAGGCTGATGCCACCAGCGACGAGTCGGGTGAGAAGGCCACGGACAGAACCCAGTGGCTATGGCCTTCGAGTGTCTGCACGCACTCGCCCGTGTCAGCGCGCCATAGCCGTACCGTCTTATCGTATGAGGCTGATGCCACCAGCGTCGAGTCGGGCGAGAAGGCCACGGACCGAACCCCGCCGCTATGGCCTTCAAGTGTCTGCATGCATTGATCCCAGTTACTCCCTGTCCTTGGCTTGAGATATATCCAGTTAGGTATCGCGTTCTTAAATTGATTCCTAATAATACTCGTGCGTGGAGTAAATATAAGGACTGAAGAATATATTTGAAGAGGTGCGGTGCTAATGATTGATAGATTAAGTTGAAGAATCCGCAGGCAGTCCTTCAAAAAGTCAGATAATTCATTATCACTGTCCTCCTATTGTAAAGTTAGTAAATCTAGCTTATAAGTACATTGTTACATAAATTTACCTGTAGAAGGGCTTGTAAACTCTTAAGTGAATCAATGCTTTCTGGTGCTTGTCGTATTAAACTTAGCGCCTCGACCCAGTGTAGGAAATGCTGCTTTAGGAATTGAAAAACTTCTCCATAATCGCTAACTTGATTTCCTGCACCTTGGAGGTGATATGTCCAATTCCGGCAGGCGTACTTGACCGCAGCAGGAATATTTTCATTAACCTTTTGGCTGTTAATTATAGAGCCTTCCAGCCCTAATGGTCGTAGACCACAGATGTCTTGCCGGAGATATTTCTTCATAATTCGTAGACAGGCATCTGCTATTCTTACGTGACTTTGCGATTCATCAATCCAGAACGGGTTATGTCCTTGCTTTCCAGGATCCACTAGAAAGTCGCGGAAGGAGAGATGCAGTAGTCTTACTGGAGCCTCTGCTGATGGCGGGATGCTTAAGACCGAATGAAGCATATCTAATCCATTATCGATAGTATCTTTAGAAATGTCAAGGAGCTGTGCTAGGGCAGAAGTTGACAAGGGAGTTGCAAGAAGTATGATTGAACCAATAATCTGTTGAAATTGATCCAGAACCTCGTCACGCTCTCGCCCAGAGTGCCCGACGAGCAGCTGATTAAGGACAGGTAGATAAGTTGCATCAAGCTTGGACTCTTGGCTTTTAGTCTTATATTCTAGGATTGTGTGAAGTCGTGCCTTGGGGCCTTTTCCGCCTTTACGATCGGCGATAAAACGACACACAGTAGCGGCGAAAATGAAGAGTGGAATTGCCATTGTTACCAGGGCGTCGACACTAGATTGACTGGGCCAGTCTGCGTTTAGTTGTCTGTCTTCCGGCACTGAGCTATTATAGCTTTCTCGAATTGTTGCTAATTCATGCTCTAGGAAAAGTGATATGTCGTTCTTTATTACTGGCGTGGGTATTTCGTGAAGAATGAGGTCTTGATATTGACCCTTAATCGCAGAAAAGCCCAGACGAATTGGAAGCTCTGGCCGGCTAGTGACGAATACTTTTAACCCTAAGCTTTTAGCACGGCCAAGGTGGTGAATTATAAGTTTGACTTTATCTTCTGGATCGCACTCATCTAGGGCATCAATAACTATTACAATAGATTCGGCTTTTCCAGCATTTGGTGAGACCCTGCATAGAGGCTGCAAGATAAGTTTGTCAAACTGTTCTCTTAGTCCCTTGTCGCTAATAGTGGGGTCGGCATCAATGGCGTTCTTGATATAAGGAGCGATAGCGGGTTTCTTCGTTGCTAGTTGAGCGGCTATTGTCGTGAAAAGCTTAACCGGGTTCTCTCGGTCACCCTCCCCTCTCTTAAAGAAAAAGCTGGCGCCTAGGTCGCCAGTGCTAGCAAAAAAATGGGCGATAGTGCGGGAAATGGTTGACTTCCCAGTGCCCGCCATACCATTCAGCCAGAAGATGGACTCAGAGTCCGAATTCTTTGCCCACTTAATTATGTGATCGAGGAGTTCGGTTCGCGTGTTTGACAAGCACGTTGGGTTTTGTTCTTCGGCAAGGGAGTCGAAGGAGGCTCCCACAGCAACAGGGAGTCGGTCGAGTACTATCTTCTGATCGATATTAAGCAGGATAGTTCTGCGATAGGGTTATCAAGTCATGTCGGCGGAGGCGGATGAATATCGATATTAACTTACGTTTGGTCTACCTGAAGCGCTAGAAGAATGGTCTGTGTATAGTGACCGAGGTCTTGGACGATCTTCTCGATATCCTTACTCTGGAATGGCCATTTCAGAGAGCGAAGTCCAAGCCGGCTCATTGCCTGGCGAGTTGTCCTTGGGCGAAGGTTATCATGAAGACTTTGTAGCTGCGATTGACTACTACGAATTGCCATGCGTAGCTGCTGAGAAGCCTTGAGCCTCGCGCTATTTGGCCTTTCGAGTAACTCGTGGATAGTCCTCGAGGCATTTTCCAGGTCGGTTACTTGTCCGCGCAGTCGGAGGATATCGTCCTTCGCGTGCTTGACATCTGTGGAGTACTGCAAGCATAACGACGCGACCTTGGCTGACAATTCTATGACCGCGAAAATACTGGTAGCGACGCCGAGTCCTTCCATAGTAATCGAATGCGATTGTTCTCTGTGTGAAGAGCATTCAGTGTAGCATCAAAGCTTGCGACCCAACCGCGGTGATCGAACCAGTTGGAGGGGTTGGCAAGGCAGTGGGTTGGCTGCAGGTTTCTAGCCACGTAGCACCCCGGTACTAGCGTTAACGAACTTGTGACCATAATAACCGTTTATCCTAGCTCCCAATAGCGAACAGAGCGAGCTTAAGTAATAATGTAAAACCAGGAATCGTCTTAATTTTTTTTTTCCCCTTCTCGGGTTTGGATTCGCGACACTCTTAGTCTCTTGAGGTTGGAAAAAGAAATGAGCTAAAAGCGATGACACCTCAGCTTTTACATCAACCAAAAAGCCACCTACCATAGAACGCACCAAAACCACCATAGATCAATGCCTATCCAGATACGATTAGGGAAGTTGAGAGTTAGACCAATGATAATGACCCTGACAGATAGTATTTTGAATAATGCGTTTCGTGAAACTGCTGCTTACTAGACGAAATTCGTACCTGGTCCGTGGTAAGATGTAGCTCAAGTACCATGTGTGCAAAAATAGTAATTAATACTGTAGTGACATATCTGTGCACTGTATTTTTTTTTTAGAGAGTCTACTTGAACAGGACGCCCATTTCGCTCCTAACTGTAAAAAAACAAACAAACAAACAAACAAACAAACAAACAAACAAACAAACAAACAAACAAACAAACAAACAAACAAACAAACAAACAAACAAACAAAACAAACCACTTCTTTCGTGCTGGCATATTGTCGCGGCAAAAGATTAGGAGTTACTCGTAAATTACGGCTCTACATCAGTAGAATTATCAAAAGCAAACTGTTTATATGCATTCTTGTCTGGTGCCTTCCGCTGCTTCAGCTCTACGATAAATCCTCTAGAAGAATTGTCTCGCCTGGTGAAAAGAAAAGGGTTCCGCAAGCTCCCTCTTTGTGGAGGTTCTTCCTGCCTCAGGCTACCTGTTGCTTCAGTTGTTCAGATTTCAATTCAAAAATGAGAGCCTTTAAACGAGTTCGTACCCCAACTGGGTCGATGTCCCATCCGAGTTCCTTCTTCAGAAGAATTTCTTGAGTAGCCCTATCGGGATCCTTTATAAATTCATCCACATAGCCGAGCAGGAAGGCGCCGCAATCATAACCGTTCTTCTGTTGCGATATGCCTTTAGCTACTATGCCCGCGGGTACATCTGTCAGATTAGCTCTTTTTTTTTCCTTGGCTTCTTTAGTAACATAATCTTTCAGCAGCTCGAGAGTTTGAGGGTGAGGCCAGCCAAGAGAGTCGAAAATGATGATTATCGGCTGTATCAAAGCTGGCGATGATTCTCGTCCCCTATATTCCTCAGGGCTGTGTTGTTCGGTCTTACAATTCTTGCAAATTATGGCTAAATATCAATGGGCATTCTCGTGAATTGGCACTATGATATAGTTGTAAGACAGCAGGTCAATTTTTTTCGTCCATGAGGTAATGCGATCATGGTTGATCTTGCGTTTTGCAGACTTCAATGTTTCGAAAAAAAAATGTGTTAAGAAGATAGATTTTGCGAAACAGCTCAGGCTTGTCATTTTCGAGCCGATATTGAATATAACGGATGTAAAAGTTGATCACATTGTCGTTTAGCAATCCCCCATCATTTAGCCGGGGGACGTCTACTTCGTCGACTTTTGCTCTAATCCGATCCGTTGAAGGGAATATAAGTGGGGCTTGCCAACAGCTTGAAAAATCTACCGACTGTACTCCAGATCAGTATTCGAGTGAGTGTGAGGAGGCTGTGCTATGCGTACAGAAAGCTGCCGTGTCTGGCAATCAAGGGCCTGCCTCCAGTAAAACCCATCTCGTATTCGACTGCCTTCCGATTTAACCCAATGGTGAATAGTTGCGCGTTCTACAACGCTAATGACGTTGATAATGTCCATTAGCTATGTCTATAATGGCACGCTGCCTAGTGCTTCTGAAAGGAATGGAGGAGGAGTGGTGGATGAATGGAAGAGGAAGGTATGAGGTGGTAGAGAGAAGCGTTCGTGGAATGAAAAGCTTAATGCCAGAGGCAATTGGTTTAGCAATGGATTGGCCGTGTTGTGTACTAGATGGTCTTATTGTGCTTACCCAGCCAGGAGGGGGGGGGGGGGGCATTTTGAAGACGATGACTACGGGCCCCTCTTGGTTACCTAACTATCCTCCTATGGTAGAGCCATGTAGACATGTCTCCAAATGACATTCAAAAAGACTGACTCGAGCAACTCAATGCCATCGAGCCATGAAAACCCTGCAAATGATGGCAAAGCAATATAGCAAAACTGAAATAGATATGGACCTAGAGTAGTCGATGTCGAGTATATTAATCTATCCGAAAAGCAGAGAGAGTTAGTTCTGCTCCAACAATTCTCTATTTAGCCTCCCTGACTTAGAATTTCTCTCCGACAAGACTTTCGCTTAGCATCCAAAGTGCCTCGGCAGTTTCGACTTTCATGACATACTCTTTAGCCTCACCAAGTTGGCAATAGTCAAGATAGGCCCTTGAATACTCTATTCTCATTTCTTATAAGTTTTATATCCAACCTGGACACGCTCTATAATAGAAGAAGCTTGCTTACCACGGAGATTCTCGTCCAGAACTGATAAGATTATCGTTGCAGCGCCTTGCTCGACGCTTCTCGGGGTTATTTCATTTGCAGCTACATCTATTACGCAGAGTCAGTTCTAGAACCGCATTCTGCTGTTCTAGTTCCTGCTATCAATTTTTTCGGGACAGCACAGAGACAAGCCTGGCAATGCTCACCTCTCTCGGTCGCAATCTTAAACCCTGCCAGCATATCGTCCGGAGTAATGGAGGAATTCTTCTGTAAGGGTGTACCTTCGACATCTATTTTACAGTTAGATTTTAGTTGTGATTCAAAGTTGTAAGAAGGTCGATATCAACGTCTTACAGCCTGGGTTAACAGAGAAAGCGGCGCAACCGAAACCAATAAAGGGTTTCGCAAGCGCAACAGTAAAGAGAATATTAGCGCCTTCGGATCTGCCGTAGGCTACCCATGGACTATATGCCTTGCCGTCCTGCAAAATATAGGTTTTCATCTTCGTCAGCGCCCATTTTTGGGTGTTTGGGGGTGGGGGGGTGATGGGGGATTCTCTCGTAACAGCGGTTCGGTGGAGTCCTTACATTGAAGTTTACATCCTCAAAGTCCGGGTCGGCGATCTGGTAGCCACCGCTGGCGACATTGGCTACAACACCATTTCCCTTCTTGATCTCGGGGACCAGCAAATTGGTTAGCAAGAAATGCCCAATATGGTTGGACGCAAATTGCATCTCAATACCGTCCTTTGACATCTGATAATTTGCTGGAGCCATGATCCCAGCGCAGTTTAATTAACCCATGTACTTCATCTGTGAGTGACTTGACGACTTGTACAGCTTTATATACTGATCGGTTATCGGCTAAGTCAATTTGAACATAGTGAGTGTCAATGGACGTATTTCTCTTAGTGAGCTCATCAATAACGGGCTATATCTTTGACTGTGATCGATCAAGTAGTATAATGCATTTAGGAGAGCCGAGGGCAAGACCACAGGCTGCAGCAGCACCAAGACTACCGGCACTAGGACCAGTAATAACAACTTCACATGCTAATTAGCACTATTGAACCATCCAAGAGTATCTCAACAATAGATAAGCTTACAAGTCTTGCCTTCGGCTTGGCTTTTAAATTGGTCCATCACATCGTAAAATGTGATTTTGTGGTTGAAGTAACATGTCGAAGCCATGTTGACTATAAACCTGACTCTCTTTTTTCAATTTTAGTTGCAGTTAGACGAGTCTTAAAATTGAGTGATAAAAGGATGCGGAATATCCAGCCGCTGTTCCATATCTAGAGGTTTTTTATATGAGAAAGGAAGATAGCACGGCGTTCACCGAACTGCCATACAGAACATCTTGCCGTCATTGCTCCGTACTCAACTTACTGCCGATAATGTTTGCTTACCAATTGCTCGATGCGCGGGTCCAGTAGTATCAAGGAATTTCGCTTTCAATTCTGGCTGGCTAGCGCTCCACAATAACATCGATGAGCCTGGAAGTTTGTAGAGCAGAATTGTGATCGCGGGCCAGTGCGCTATTTGGGGTAAGCAAGTTAGTCGCGAAGCTACCAAATTTTGGACTAAGTTTTGGGGGCCGTGCCTGCGAAATGGGACGCGAACTATCTACAGGCTTAACATATGGTCGTGGTGGGCCTGCTCCAGCTGTAAGGGTATAGGCAATCATCAGCGAAAGCGAAATTTCCGGAGCTTGTAACAGTATCCAATTGATATAAAAAGCGAATTTCCGTGGTAATAAACTAGGTAGTCAAGCCCCTCCCCATTAGGAGGCGGGACTTTACACCGCCGCCGTGGCACTATCTGCTCGACTAACGCGACCTATGCTACAGCATCACCCAATCGGCCGATACCCTTCATTATATATGAAGCCTTACCATCTGCATTCCTTCAATAAGAGGTACAGGTATCTGTTCAAAACAGTACATGCTCAAGACATATGTTACTTAGGTATGTGTTCTGAAGTAAGTTATCTAATTTTATAGTATTATACTGACTTAATCTCAAGTATTGGCATAAGCTAAAAATATAATCTAGACATAAGTAAGAATTTAATGGGGGTCTGTTATCCCCTCTGCTGTCTATAAACCGGTAATGGGTGCTCAAAGCAGTTGTTATAGAACGCTGAAATAAACACTCGTAGATTTCTTTTGCTTTTTCATATCTCCTCGCTAAAAGGATTCACCGGTTGCAATGGCATACTGGTGTTGATATGGAAGGCGTCAGCACTAGACAGGTTTCTTACTCTGCCTAGCAGAACTTGCAGATGGCGAAATGCTGCAGCAGGCTGGGTCGTGGGTATCATGTGTCCCGCCTTTGCAACGATTGATAGCGTCAGGCCTCGCTCTTGGCGCCATGTTCCCATAATTCCTTGGCCCGAGGCTACCCTTAAGTCGAGATTTTTATGATATGGAACAAAGAGCGGCTGCTCTAGTGGCGATTGAAATCCCATTTTATTATGCCAGGTCATGTTCTGAACAGCAAGAAGCGTCCCATTGACGGTGAGCAGAGAATCTAGTGAGCCGTGGTTTATCATGACATTGTTTGTTGTTTCGATAACGTATGGCAACGGTCCGTTGGACGAAGGCACCGAGGTGTCGCTTACAGCAAAGACTCCCCTGTTGGAGGTGCCACAGAGTTTCCAGTCGACGTTTGCTGGAGCATTGATAGCTTTCTTAACGTCTTGCCGGTTGAAGTAGATTTGTTCGCCTGGCGGTATGTATGGATTCGTAGCCGGTTCTCCCAAAACATCCCAGGGTATCGGAAGTGCCTGGGCTATCTGATAGACATTAAATGCAGGGTTGAGCTCCATAGCAGACGACTGGAAATATTGGATAGCGTCACAACTCGATATGGTGCCTGTGCCTTCTCCAATGCTCCCAGGAAGATTGTTTGGAGCTGGCTGCGCTTTGAGAGGCGGGAAAGTAAGATATGTATCAATGTATTTGTCATAGCCACATGTCTTGGATAAATTTGCAATGTATCCGCATATAGTTTCGTTGAAAGACAAAATGTTGTTCCAAAACTGAGTGAAGTAATTCACAGTCGCTTGTGTCAGAGCAGGGTACCCGATGACGGGATCATTAATCATTGCGCCTTTGACATTAAAATAGCGGGAATCCTTGGCCATAAGCATATGCTCAGCTATGTATGGCACGTACATGCCACTATGCCATTGAGTATCGGTTAGCATATTCTATTAAGTCTGATATTGAGGTCGGGCTAATGCATACGCATAGGATTCACCTGTTAAATACACCTTGAAGCCATGTATTTAGAACGTATCGACGAAGTTTTTCCAGAATGCCATGAATTGCCTTGCTACATCGTCCTCACTGTCAGCAGTCACATTGCCTGTAGAAAACCCAGTCCCAACAGGCTAGTCAATGTAAACAATATTGCTGATGTGATGCCAGCTCCATGGGTTGCGGACTAGAGCAGGAAGTCCGCTCGGCCAGAGGATTGCTCCATGCTCCTTTAACAGGCCACCTAGAGACGAGCATCCTAGCTATTAAGCAATGATTAGCTTTCGACAATACATACACGCCGACCTTCCTTGCTTCAGTTGGGGAGTTCTTACTCCACCATTTAGCCAGATCACAATTTCCTCTCGCGGCGTATGGTCCGTATTGGGCCAAAACCAGAAAAATAAGTTACTATTAGTGTCATTTCCTAGAGGTAGAATGCCTGCATAGGACTCTCCGGCTTCGAATGAGACGTCTGGGATGAATGAGCCATTAACTACAAATTCTGGTTTTGTAAGATTAGTGAGAACTTTCTATAGTAGTACCGGAAATTAGCACATACTGGCCGTGTTTGACGTTGAAAATCGTGATGCTTCTGTGCAGCCTAGCAGTAGGAAAGGTAATAAGAAAGTGATTAACTGCATTTGTTGATACATGTGGTGTTGAAGTAAAAAGAGTGTTGAGTAGAAGATGCATATAAGCAGACAAAGTAGTTGCAACCTATGTGAATAACGAACAAGCGCAAATACAAAAACAATCCTCCTACATGTGTTCAATATATAGTGGTAATTTATATGGTTTATATTAGCTAAGCTGTACGATTAGTAATTAAAATAGCTCAGCAAAAGTTCCTTTGCTCCGCCACTAAACGCGTCAGCAAAGGAAATCATTCACATATTAAGCCAAGTGCAGTATATATCTTGATTAATAGCTTGTAACCACCGCATTAGGATCGACATTATCCAGATGAACAGTAATGCCACTCCCTCTTGAAACAACTATATTTTCAGCTCGGCCAAAGTACTATATCTTCTATAAGTACTATATCTTCTATAAGTACTATATCTTCTATAAGTACTATATCTTCTATAAGTACTATATCTTCTATAAGTACTATATCTTCTATAAGCACTATAATTAACAAATTTAGTATCATAATGTGAAAAGTCTGCATATATTATCATTTTATTTTTGGAAATTTGGAGATGCTGAGTTGCGTAAGGAGCTACTGCAAAGTGACGATATTTACTCAAGTAGGTATTTGCGTCTTACTGTTTACAACTAGCGCGAGGCCTTGTCCGGATAGGAGTTTATGCAAAGCTATGTTAATTGCTCTACAAGCTTTTAAATGAATCTAGATAATGCATTTAAGTAGTACAACTTTCAATTAAATCTAGAGAATGCGTCCAACTCATACAATAAAATGTTCTCAGGCCTATAAAATCTACGCCAAAGGACACTGTGTTTCCTGTTTAGCAAGCAATTTTTTTACAGATCCTCGTTATTGCTTAAGTAACACCACTGTCCTATAGCACAAATGTTTTTTTTCTTTCTGTTTTCCTTTTGTTTTCTTTGCCGCAGGGAAATCTAAGCTTTACAATTATGTTACAATCTGTTATAATAAATGGTATAATGCAAATCATTGACCTAGTTGTTTTTCTTTTCTGGCTTATTTAACGTAAATAGTATGACTGATTATTACAATTCTTTTGAAAATAGATTTATATTCAGGATTGGCTGCTTTTTGTTATGTTGAATAACTACTCTTCATTGAATCATCTAGAACCCCCTAAATCTTCTTACATCAACAAGGTAGCACTTCTAATAAATGATACTCCTCAATTCAAATAATCTAGTAGTAAGATTATCTTTACCTTAATAACTAGATGTACTAGCCTTTGCAATCTGTAAGAAGTTAGAATGACTCTGCTTTATACAATTATTATAACGTCACATCGCCAAAACTTACCCCACATAGCATAAACAGATGAAAAGTCAGAAACGCAAGTTCCTACATTAACTTGACGCTTAGTATTGCAATCCGGATCAGCGCAAATAAAAGCCCCTTTTGCATCATTAGCATATATCACTCTTCTCACAGCTGTAGAGACATGGAGTTTGCATACTAAATTTGCCTGGCTTTTTGCCGCAGGGAAAATTGCCCGAATTGATAAATGCAGCGGACGGAGAACCATAATTCCCTCATTGAATAGCGCCATTGCCAGGGTAATCTGAGTTTGCATAATTGTCATGGCAGCCCACTGTATACCAGCTATAGGTCATGTCATTAGCCTGTTTGCTACATCATCATATCTATTGATAGTACAAATAACATACAAGTTCACTTGAGGGTTTTGGGCTAGTACCTGGGCTGCCAAACCAAGCAGCCGTAGCCAATGTAGCCGCAATTCTCATTTTGGGTGTTGTATAAAGATAAAGTGAATATTGTCCAGTTGATAATGCTCGAATTAGCTGTGACCAGGTTGGAGTGAACCTGAGCGGCAATCAAAGATTAAGTATTTGACCTTCTTATATATGCATTCTCCCACGATATTTTATCTCTTTTTCTATTCGCCTTACATTTTCAAGCTTACATCACCGCCTCCAACTAGTACACATGTAAGAGCACGGCATTTGGAATCATTTCTGTTTTATAGTATTGTATTCTTTTGTTTCTATGTAAGATTGCCAATTCAGCGGCCGCAACAATTGTAATACAACAAATCACTTCTTGTAAATATACCAACTAGTGTCTTAGAATACGAAGTTACAATGGTATTTACTTTGCACAGCCTTCGTACGTGGGGGCTGTATAATGTTACATTCGCTTATATTCCATAGCTTACACGCCCAGTAATCCCCAAGAGGCCTAGTGATTCTAACAGCTATGATGACCGTGAAGCGGGAACAAATCAGGGGATTATTAGCATGGCCAAAATGGCTTGTTTTCTTTGAGACAACGCTGTAGGCGCAGTCAAAGATCCTATAGGAAGAAATTATTTTTCTTGAGTTATGTTTGATAGACATCAATTATCCTCCTACTTATTTTGCAAAGAGTTGGAATGAACCAATGGTTAATCACTGATCTAAAGTATCTCTTCAATTCATCAAGAAGCAAGAACAAATACGATATACATCAATTACTATTTGTTATTCTTGGGAATACTGCAGAATGTAATTAATAGCAAAGGGGTTCATTTGATATACTAGCTTTACTAAAACGTATAGGAAGTTGCATATTGCCTAATGTAGAATCTAAGGATTGTAAGTAGCTAATTAATCTATTTTTATAAGCATACTTCTAGCCTTACCGCTTCTAAATGAAATTCCCGGTAACCTCTGCCGATACTGCCGGTAAGCGCCCGAAGCAGCGTTTAGGGCTTTTTATACCTTGGAGCTAACCCCTCTATATGAAGTACGCAGCATCATCCCGAGTTCCGTTGAGCCAAATCCATGCAGGATACGATATACGTCCTTCCACTCCTGCGACGTTGATCCCAGTCGCTCCCGTGCTTGTACCCAAGAGCGACGACTGTGCGGTAGATGAGAGCTGAGAAACCAAAGGTTACATGGTTCAATGACCAATCTCTAGCAAAGAGTAAGTGCCAGGTAACATATAAGCCGTAACCAGAGTGCGGCTAACATTCCCAGCAATGTTCAACCTGACCATGAAGACTCATAATATGCGGTTAGCTCTACTAAATGAGATTGGAGGATTAGGATTAATTGCTCAATAACTCATCCTGGGCTTCGGCTAGGGCACGCTGCTAGATATCTCCAGTGTACTACTCTCAAGATCTTCTCTCCACCCTGTAGACGTATTTACTAACCTTCTTTCATTGTCGACTTCATCCGTTCCTCGACGGCGACTATGAGAGGGATAGATGCAGGTCTTCTGGCTAGTAAGGTATCGGCCACATGAGGGCCGCCGGCGGTCATAGGATCGCCGTGACCTATAGCAATCAGAGCATGCTTTGGGACGTGGAGGAGCTCTCTTGTCGTTTACAATTTTGATCAATGGTCTTATGGAGCCATGGAAGAGTGAAGATACGTAAGATGATAAGAGCTACAGAGTCCGTGGAGGTTTCTGCCTTAAGGTGCTGAAACAAAAATGTAACTGAGTATGTGGCTGACGGAGTTCCGCAAAGATGGTTGGTGAGCATGGAGACGTGTATGACTAGTAGAAGCCGAAGCAACCTTCCGAGATATGTCAGCAGCATGGTAGAAACAACAGGTTGTCTGTTATCGATCTGTCTGTTTGCGATAACAGTTTCCGCTAGGCGGTGGGGGAAGGAAACATCGTCGTTCAATTGCATCTTCTCAGGTAATATATTCGCCCTTGGCTTATGTTCTGAAGGCGCCACGCGGGTGCGGGCTTTGGGGAAATCAAGCAATTGGAAAACAAGGCTCATGCCTTCAGTTCCGTCTTCCAATTTATAGGAATAATATGAGACCTCTGAGTGTACGATTTTGAATTCGAGTATTCACCTCACTGGCACATGGATACGTTGTGTGTAAGAAGATAGGCCGTAAATATGAAGATGTATTGCAGTAATTGTTTCGAGGCTGCACTACTTAAAGATCAAATACCATCTCGAATGCGATGAACAGTTTTCCCAACCACCGAGCCGGCTGCGAGTGCTTTTTTGGCTTCATTTCATTCATAATCTGGCCTACTTGTGGATGGATGCTTTTCACCTCCTCAGAGCGAATCAGCTCCTAAATCGTTGGTCTGCTTGCAGCGAGCATGCAGCGAGCTTTTTGCGCCTTAGTGAGACCAGACTGAGTACTCTTGGGTAAGGACTAGCATACCAAATTGCTGCCAGTAAGTAAAGTATTGACCAGGTCAGATGGTGGCGCCTGTCCGCTAAGAAATTCGTTGAACGTGACTTATCCACCAGTCTGAAGCAACCTAACAGCTTCAGCTACTGTTGAAAGGCTAATAACATCGACAGCATGATCTACACCTCTGTTCCTAGTATACTCCAGAGCCTCATCGCCCGCTTCGGATGCTTGGTACAATTGATTGTATATGTGGCCCAAGCTTTCTTGCAAATTCCGGCTTATCGTCCAGGAAGATGCAGAAATTACCGATGTGCCAGCTGCTGATGTCATTTGCTCGTAAGACCATGGTCAGTGCCACGTACATGGTTATTTAAATCGGGATGAAACTCTACCTGGATGAAGAATATACTCAGATCATCGTCTTGAACGATCATGAATTGGGAAAGTGTGCCGTCTAAATTCCATGAGCCATCAGTTGCAGCTCGCAGTCTCACTCGGATGTGTCTCATCTCCGAATTAAGAGCTCGGATTTCTCTTAAACTTTTACGAGGTTAGGAAATGGCTTCTCAGCTGCCCCAAGAATACTTTCAAGATCGACCATGTATTATTCGTACGTCTCGGATATAGCGAATACGATGGGAGATACAGCCACTAACATCTAACCGCTAACAAATCTTAACTACCACCCCAAACCACTAACCTACTATAATTTCATAACATATTTGATGCGATATTGCACTATAACAGAATCGATTGAGCACTATTATATAAGCAGCCTTATTATGCATGGAGAACTCTGAAATCTCTCTCTTTTTGAGATTGCCTCAATGACCGCCTGGATTTCCCATTGCGAAGCCCCTAGTTTCTCTCACATTCGAAATCTATCAGGCTGCAAAAAGTAGCAACAATCTTTGATCACTCAACCACGATTATGTTGACTTGATCTCTCCACCATCCATGCGCAGAGCAGAGCCAGTCATCCACTTTGCAGCAGGGGAAAGGATAAATGCCATCAGCTCTGAAATCTCTTCAGGCTCTCCAAAACGCGTTATACCAGCTTCCGTTGGAAATGCCTTCATCGCCTCCTCCACGGTGATATTGTGATTAGGAGCCCATTTTTCCAAATATGTGCGTCGGCGACCCGTCATCACTGGTCCAGGCAGTACACTATTGACCTGCACCCCATCCTGTATACCTCTGTCCCAGAACGCCTTGGCCAGCGCTATGATCGCTGCATTCACGCATGCCACAGCCGCGAAAGGAGCCTTCGGGGCTTCAGCTGAGTTGCCCGATATCAAGATGACAGAGCCGCCAGTCGCCTTAAGTGAATCCCAAGAACGAATCGTAAGACGTCGAGCGCCATGGAACTTGAGATTGAAACCGCTATCCCACGCTGCGTCATCCATGTCAAAGAGGTCAGTTTGGGGAACAGCGCCAGCTATGTTCACAAGCGCGTCTATCCTGCCAAACTCCGCCAATGTTCTAGTGCCAACAGTGTCTGCTGACCCAGGGTCGCTTAGGTCAAGGCTCAACAACAACGTTTTGGCAGCGCCAGCCTTGGCAACCAGGTTTGCCGTCTCCAACAGCCCCTCCCTGTTCCGCGCAACGAGAACCAAGGATGAAAAGTCCTGTGACAGGCGCACAGCAGTGGCCCGTCCAATCCCCTGGCTTGCACCAGTAATGATAGCAACAGTGGAAGTTGCCATAATGAAATAAGAATGGTTCAAATGCTCCAATTCAACCTAAATCTAGATGTGTTGCTCTACCCAACAGGACAACAAGCTCTAGGGAAAATCGTTGAGAGCTGATGGGTTCATTTTGTGAGTTGCAGCTGTCTGAATTAGGTAAATGCTAGATGTCCGGAAAAAAAAACCCGCGCCCGCAAACGGAGCCGCTAAGGAGCAGCTGGACCCCCCGGTTTATGAATCACTTGCAGATCAAGCCCGAAACCACGGGATTTTCGGCCAGCTGCGGATGTTGACGCGATACTCAGCTACAATATTGCGCTTTGAGGAGGGGGTCCCAGTGCATTGCGAGTGCCAGACATGATAGCCGCAGCGCCGCAGACGTTAGAGAGCGTCTACATCAATGAAGTGGACATGTGCTCTTTTGAAAGAGCGGCTAAGAAATAGTCCGTGTCTGATAGAGCTGTCTTCGCTAGTAAATAGAATCAGGCACCGCTATCGGATATTACACATCAGCAACAAGCGCAGAGACAGTTCAATCATGCTTATGATATGTTGTTTGAATAGGACTAGCTGAATTTTTCTACTTTAAGCAATTTTTAATACTGTCTCTCTATTTGTGGTGTAATTACAATGGGAGACTAATTTTTTTAATACACTGCATTGCTTCCGTTGCAGTTTTATGGGCAATGTCACCAAACTCAATAATGCCTATTCTGATTTTCGTCGCTTAGTTCCTATTCAAAGTGGTCTCAGAGATGCATGAGCATGTTACTCTCTAACAAAAGAACAAGAATCGAGTAGTATATGGCTTAGCTTATGTGCATAAAGAAACCTCTAGGAAAAAGTAGTGTTACCAAGGACCTTGCATAGCATTGCGTTGCGCTACGCGGTTGTTAAATGGCCTGACTAAAATAAAGGTGAGAGCGTCTGCAGACTAGAACATAGGCAATTACATAGCACAGTTGCTTAGTAGGGGTACCAATTGTTTAGGACTAATTTCTGCCTTTCCTACTAACTATTAACATGTGGAGCAATCTCTCCATTGGAATTACGCTTGGGGCTGTGACCTGCGTGTAACATAGGTGCAGCTTCTGCAGGATCCTAACTTAAAATAGAAAGACTCACGAGTTTACTTGTTCTCAAATAACTTAAAATATCAGGGATAAAACCCTTTAAATTTAGTTATCTATGCCATCAGCCATTTTAAAAGACATACTATTACCATATTTAGTGCCCTAATACTACATGGTATAGTCTTTTAAAATACGCAAATCTGTAACCGAGAATGCCATACTTAATCGATAGCCCCTGCCAATGCGCAGCGGCGCAATCAAGTGCATATCCTCTCCATCCACCTCGGGAATTTTCAGCTCTGCTGTCCCGGCCCAGACGCCCACGACCACGAAATCATCCATCAGCGACAACGTAAGCTCGTCAACCGCTGGTTTATTTTGACGACTGGACACAAGCTGAGGAAAATGACGGCGCATTGCAATTGGGCGATTAAGGACAGTCAAAGGGTCATCGACCTTTTCCTGAAGTTGTATGCGAGCAGTTGCAAGCCGTTCTCCGTGGGCTGCTACGCTGGCGCCAAATCTACTGCCTGGAGCAAGCGGCGCAGCAGCAGGACCAGGAGCAGAGAAACTTCGAGTTTGGAAGATGCTAGCAAGTTTCTTGGGGAACCCTTGCGCCCAGCCCCGTGCAATAGAAGCATCATTGTCCACAAAGATATATGGGCAATAGTTTATAGGAGTAGCGTCGAAAACAGCTTCAATAAGAACAAACGCCTCGCGGTATTGGTAGCGGGCAGGATCGGTCAACTCATCATTGGAGCCAGTAAATTGCCAATCTAGAAACCAAAACAAGGCACGGCCACCCGATTTTTCATCCAAAGTGACACCGGGCGGCAGGAGAGCTGCGAGTGCTGCCGGATCGGCCCAGTATTCAATAACAAGGCAATCGCCAGAATAGTGCCAAGGCGGTGGCGATGCTAGTGACGACTTCCCTTCGGGGGTAAGAGGAACTGAATATCCTTTCAGCATTTTTAGGTTCTTTTCGTGGGGTGAAGTAAGTTCTATCTAATTGGTTTGCTGAATCTGGGCACTGTTGCTATTTTATAAATGGTTACAATTTTCCGCAAGCCGACAACCGGCGATATGATAACTGAACAAAGATGGTTGCATCGTTAGATTGACATGGCCAGTAATAATGAGTCGAACTTGCTAGGCCCTCTTGTTGATTTGGCAACATCGTTTGCATTGGCGAGGATGTCGTCCGCTCCTACTAAAACATACCAAATCTTCTATTGGTGTAGATGTGCCATGGGTACACAAGACTTCTCGATAGCCGGCACTAACCGAGCCGGCCTTAGCCGCGTTATATTGCGTAGCATTGCCACCCCGAACCACGCCCTACTGTCGGTGGTTTTGTGTTTTGCTACTGAAGGTAGTGCTTATTATTAGCATTTAGATGCTGAAAAACCAATATTCTCAGGTCTATTTAATATTGCTTATAGTAAGGAGCTGCTAAGAAAGATGGTAGTAGAAGAGATTCCAAAGGATTGTCATACCCCAGCGATCAGAGTGAATTACTGCGGAGGTAATGTAACCAGGATTTAAACTCGAACATTATTCACAGGACGACTCTTACTCAAAGGTTAGATAGAATGCTTAGATTCATCACTGAAGGTCGGGAAGCATATTACTCCCTTCTGTTCCATTTGTTCTGCTGCAAATCCCATATTGGATTGTCTCATCTTGCTAGTCCCTGCGTCATCATCGGGTTGTATCAATCCGCTTCAGGACCTCGCCGAGGACAGTCCGTATTCGGAAGTTGTGGGTTGCTCTCTAAGGACACCGCATCTATTAGTGAGCATGATAGGCTTCTCTTATTGTAGTCTACATAAGACTACGACTTTCCAAAATTAGAAATTGCTGGATTTATATATCGAATAGCCTAAGACATGTCGGGTTAGTCTTAGAAGTATAAGCATGTTAAATGCCCTCGATTTATCTACACGGGGGTCAGGGTTTAGCGCTTAGCTATCCGTGGTTAATGGCTACTATCTCCAGATCCTCGCTTCCTCGCTCAGTCTTATAGCTTATTAACTCCGAACGTAGTTCCATTTCTTTTACTATTTCTCCTCTCTTTTCCCTTTCTTTCTTCCTTAATCAATCTTCAATTCACATTTACTTCCCTCTCACCACTCTCCCAACCAACCACTGCCAAAATGTCCGAAAAGGTCCCCGTCCTCACCTCCAACGCCCCCAAGCCCCTCCCCGGCATCTACAGCCAGGCCATCAAGGCCAACGGCCTCGTCTTTGTCTCTGGCACCGTGCCCATGGACCCCGTCACCATGGAGCTGATTCCCGGTGACATCCAGGCTCACACCGTACGTTGAGCCTCATAGAAAGACACTCAGTGCAACACCAGATCGGCAACTGACATGTTCCACAGCATCAATGCATCAAGAACTTGTCCGCCATTCTCGAAGCCGCCGGCACCACGCTCGACAAGGTGGTCAAGGTCAACGTCTTCCTGTCCGACATGGCCGACTTTGCCAAGATGAACGAGGTCTACAGCACCTACTGGGGCGATGTCAAGCCCTGCCGAACGTACGTTCTTACCTCTTCTCTTGTCCCTTTTTTCTTCAACATCAGATGCTGGTCCCCTCATCTTTGTTGAATTAATTACCCCTCCATCAGAAATAAGCGCCCCGCTATCGGATGCAACATTGTAGTGGGGGGTTTATGAGTGGGAGAAAAAATAAATCAGAGTCGCGTCACGTACCGATTGCTTGCAGATCTGGTGCAGTTGTTGTTGAATTGAAGATGATTGAACTAATGTTGCGTGTCTCTTAGATGTGTCGCCGTCAAGACTCTGCCCCTGAACACCGACGTCGAGATTGAGTGCACTGCTCTTCTGTAAATGATAAAGCATATTAAATGATACCATAAAAAGGCGAAAATGAGAAATAGCATAAAGGAAATAGCTCAATTATGAATAAATAAGAACTTTGGGCGCTCCTATAAAATTCATCTGTTCATTCGTGCTTTGTGATTTACTATTGGTGCAGCTCATAATCTCATGCTTCTCACTTAGAGGTTGCGACGAAGAGTAAGCGATTGCTCCAGTAATAGGTGCAGAAGATCAATTTTGGCATGTAAAATCACAATAAGGGTCAAAGCGTTGCCTCTGTAACGTCAAATACAGTAAATTCGTGTATCCCATAACATAATGTGTATATACGCCTCGTGATATTCCAAATGCAGCAAGTCGTCGTCAAGGCTCAAAGCCCCTCATTCTCTCTTTCCACCTCCTTCATCCGTCATTTTACGCAACATCAGGCAGCGCATTTTCCACATCCATCATCTCCTTCATGCCGTCCGCAATGCCCTTGACCTTGACATCATCCGGTCTCGGCAGCGGCCTTCGGGCAAATCCTCCATAGCCAAAGTACGCCTGAAGCGCCGCCCTTGACGCCAACAACGCCCGTCTGGATCGCAACCCAGTCTCCCGCGCCCAAAACAGATTGAAGCGCCGCAGCCTCAGCCGCCTTCTCGGGCCCAGCCTCTGCCAGCTTGAAGAGTCGCACGTTGGCTCGGGGCGAGACGTTGGCCAGGCCGCCAATGACTCCAGCGGCACCAGCGGCCATGGACGCCAGCAGAAAGTCAGAGCTGCCGGCGAAGCACTGGAAGTTGTCGCCCGACGCCTTGACCGCAGCAGCTACGCGGCCCAGCTTGCCCGTGTTGCCGCAGGTGAACTTGCAGCCCACAATGTTAGCGTGGCGGCTCAGACGGATCAGCGTGTCCGAGTTGATGTCAATGCCGGGCGTGGCGCCGGGGTAGTTGTAGATGATGATGGGGATGGGCGAGGCATCAGCCACGCCGACAAAGTAGCTCTCGACCGTCGAGCTATCAAACAGACCGGCGTAGTAGCTGGGAGGCAGCACCAGCGCGTAGTCGCCGCCAGTGGCCGCTGCGTCTCGGCACAGCTTCACGGCCTCGATGATGGACTGGGCGCCGCAGCCGACAATCAGGGGCATGGAAGTGAAGCCCGCGGCATCGAGAGCAGCTCGGGTGGTCCGCGTGATGGTTGAGCGCTTGTCCTGAGCCAGGTGGACTGCTTCGCCGTTGGATCCCTGGACGGCAAGGCCAGATACACCAGCCTTTGCGAGGCGGACGGCGTGCCGTGACACAGTCTTGACATCCAGCTCGTCTGTCTCGCTGTCGAAAAAGGCTACAGTGGGCACGTAGATTCCGCGGATGAGAGGTCGTGAGGGACGATCAACCTGGGCTGCCGCAGCAGAGGAATCCGCAGAAGACGATAACGAGATCTGGGGGGCAATGCTGATTAATTTTATTAATCTATTCCCATCTTTATTAACCCTTGGGCTGCACTTCTCACCTTACGATAAAAGCCGGTTCCCTAATATATGCTCAAACTTAAGCATGCCAAAGCTACGAAGAATTGAGCTTTTTGGCATTGAGTGCGCAGCTACTGATCTTACCTGTTTTCTAACTTCCCACAGGCAAACGGTTAAAGAGATTTCATTGGAAAGAATTAATCTCAATTCTAAAGATGGTGATTGGAGATGGCTTCTTTTTGAAATTGTTAATAACTTTCATATTAGCGACTTTTACATGGATTCTTGTTGGTTTCAAAATGATGTGGTTATATCTACAGACGATAACTCCAGCAAAAGGTTTCATGCAAAAGATCAACAGGAGCTTGTAAAGATTATTGATAAAATTTCAAAATAAGTAGAAATCAAGGAATAAATAAAATTTTAAGTATTGAGCTCTTATTTTTTAGAGTATAAAGTTAGCAATGGATTGCCTCTATTAACCTATCAGAGTGTGTATATCTGGTTAGGTGAAAAAAATCGGTGGAAGTTGGCGGAAAATAAGCTATTGTTATGAACTAACGCCCAGGTAGTAGACAGTCGCAGTAATCCCCAGTTAATTCAAGGGTCGTATATGCGACAGATGGAAAGGTATTTTGATAAGAGCAGAAAAAAGTTCGCGATCCCTGCCCCTGTACGCGTCCTCCCAGCCAGTCCTTTCAAGCCAGGGCCGCTATTCGGCAAACGTTAAGTATGACGATGCAGTAGCTTCTCGAGCTGCCGCCAGATTTGTGGATCCTCCGTTCTGATTGCGTCCATATTCTCGCTCCCGTACAGACTTAAGATGATCTTGAGTTGCTTGGCCTCCGATGGGCCGGAACAAATTCCCATTCCGCTTGATGGTCCAGTGCTGCCGGGCTGAGCCGGTTGCCCAAGTCTGTAAGTAGACATATTGAATGAGATGGTCGATATCATAATGATTCTGCTGAGTTTCGTGGTCATTGTAGGGGCAGATTTGGCCCGTAGGTAGAGGAATAGAATAATGTGCTTTGTAAGTCGGAGATTTAGGGAGCGAAAGTCGCAACCAGAACAAGCGAATCCTTCGTAAACTCGTGGTGAGGATTTTCTGGGGATGCATCATTGAGGGCAGGCGCCTGGTCTGGATTCTGTAAATTGATTGTCTTAAGAAATATCGTGAGATACTTTCTCCCCCCCCCCCCCCCAAGGGGACTTTATGCTTTTCCCACAGGTGCGTCGTTACATGCGAATCACGCACCGAGAGGGCTTGCATTCATCATAACCGCAGATGAGAATGCCTGCATCAGCCTCGACGCAGAGACGTAACACCGCTAAGTCTGGATTAGGCATCTTCTCAAGATAAGAAACCAGTGAAATGTTAAAAAGAGATTGTATTTTAATGATTTTGGTCTATGTTTTTGCGATACTGTACTTGGTTTTACATCTATAGATTTATACTTACCGCTACATGTGTATACCTGATTAGGTATAGTCAGATTAACCCCTTAGTAGTGCAGACGAAAAGTGTGCAGTCTGGGGGATCTTCTAAGGCGCACGGATGAAAAGTGTGTAATGCAACGGATTACGGCGTCCCCGTAGAAATTCGCTCATTATCACGATGTTAGATGTAGGAGGGGAAAAAAAACGACGCGTCGCGAAAGCCCGATCCGGAAAGGTCAAAAATCAGTACCTTAGGGGGGCCAATGACTATGTTCGTGCCACTATAATTATTCCCAGACCCGACCTCCAACGTCATCATCACCAAATGTCCGTGAACAGGTGCAACAAGAGCCTGTAGCTCTTGGGGTGATAACGGATTGTTTAACATTTTTTTTCAAACGATAAACCGCAGCCGATTTCCTTAGACGGAATAGGTCAGATTGCAGCCGGCCTAATGGCAAGCCTAACCCTAAAAAACCAATGGACGGAGACCATCCATGTTACTGTATTCAACGTCAACGTTGCCAGAAAGAGCTTTCATATATCGGCTTCTTCCCCTAGAGGAATTCGATTTCTGACCAATAAAAAATATACAACAAAGCAAACTAAATAAGCCAATCGGTGAGAGCCAATCGGCGAGAGTCAATCCGTGAGAGCCAATCCGTGAGTCCCTTGTGTGCATTATAGCAAGATTATGAAAAGCAGTCGGAAGGCCCCCGGCGGGTTTAAGCCCGCCATGCTGTGGAAAAGTTGCATTTTGAGATTCGTCATCATCGGAAGTTGAGCAATTAGAGATTTGGGCGTCCTCAAACCAAAAGGGGCAGACCGCATTGCCTATTTGCTGTGAATTGCTGCTAGCATAAGTGGCAATGAAGATGAGACAAAGAAAATGCATCACAGCCTTCCCCAATGCCGCCTTGAAGGTAAACAGCCAAAGGTGGCCTCAATACATTACGTGCGAGCTGCATACATCATATCCTCAATGTCATGTATAGCCTTCTATCATCATGTCATTATTCAATGTACGCCGAAATCTGTGTGCGGTGAAATCAGTCATTTTGAAACCTTATTTCAGTGTTTCATTTGTCAATTGTGCTTTTTTTCTTCTTCTTAATCTCTCCTAGCCCATCTTACCAACCCTTATCATAAAGACATGCGTGGCTACAATGCCAATTCACTTTACAGCTACATTAGAACCACTTACTGTAACTCCAGCTGTAGTCTACTGACGGATGAAGCTTGTGTAGAAAGACGAGTAATATCAAGGGCCATCGCGGCTAGAGTCGTCTCTCGAGCCTCCGCCGTCAAATGTTTCCCGGAGCCAGTTTAGAGCTCCAGAGGTAGCGGATTATCGATCAGTGTCCGCGCTGTCTCCGTCACGGCGGCTGCTTTGTGGCGTACGATCTTGTCAATGACGCTCCCTGTAATCCGCAACGGTCATTCTAGGTCTTGTTGAGGAAATAGAGTTTCGTGAGCTTCGCCGCTATCTTGCTCGCTTTCATCTCGCTGGCGCTCTGCTGGAGATGAAACGCTCCAGACATGACTCTCACGCTCACACTCTTGTTGCTGTTGTGACTCTTCCTGTCTCAATGAGATGCTTCTCAAGGCCTCGTTCAGTCGGCTCTGGCTTTGACTTAGAGGCCGAGAGAGCTGGGACGGTCGGGGGCCAGGGATAGGGAGCGGGCCGCTACGGTTCAGCCCATTCCCAGATTGATCATCCGGTTGAGATGGCCATGATCTACTGGGTCCGGATGTATTTGCATTTCCGTTTGAAGTTCTACCACTGTTGCCATCGCTATCCTTTTCAATAGACGCTCGACACATCGGGCATGTGTTGTGTTCCTTGAGCCATAAAACGACGCATGCCTCGTGAAACCAATGTTTACAAGGTAAGAAGGCGGCCAAGTCACCCATCTTCATATCATCAATACAGATGGCACATTCGGTTTTTGACCCGCTCTCCCACATTGAAGAGTCTACAGGTCGTCGGTACAGGTTAGCAAGCGCTTCGACCGACGCTGGCGGTGCTGCGTTCGGTCGTCGATGCGCTTCTATAGCGTATGTGACGATTAGGTCCAAGCCTTCCGTCAACCTGTGTATAGAGCAAAGAAGATCAGCTCAAGTAGGTCGCCGTTTCGCAGCGGTTCAACTTACGCCTGAAATAGCTCGTCAAGGTGGTCGTACGGAGGGGACCCTCCCGGGGGAAAGAATCCTGAAGATGGTCCAGAGAAAATGGTGGCAGACGCACTGCCGCTGCCGTTCATGAAGGTAGAGCGATGGACTTGCGGCCCTCCGAATCGATATTCCTCGCTTCCTCGTCGTTGTTGAAGCATGTCAGGCCCTCCTGCACTGTGTGGCGGCGGTGGTGGTGACAAATTATGTATCAGGTCGACATCAAGCTCATGATTAGGAAAGCCTGATCGGTCCCTAACGCTGCGGTGGTGATTCAAACCATGCGGGCTCATGTGTTCTTCTATAACAGCTTCGTCGAGGTCTGAGTCATGACCGTTATTATGTTCGTTATCATGATCGCGACCATGGTTGCGGTCGTGGTCATTTCCGTTGTGGAAATGATATTGGCCATGAAGTGCGGGTAGCGTTGACGGCGAGCCGTCACTAAACCCTGGAGGATCGCTGTCTGGGATTGTCTATATAGTTTGTTAGCCAAGACAGTTTGCCATATAGATCAGTAGGATAGGAGAGGAGAGACCAAACATACGATTTCCATGACCTCGCTGCTGCAATTGGGGCATACTAAGCCGTGGCCCGCGCGGTGCCATCCATTAGAGCAGGCATGGCAGTAGGCAACCTCATCACTCATAATCGCTCCAAGATGCCCATTTGAGTAGTCTGGAGAGTCCATTTGCTCCCTTTATGGACTGAGGAATGATGCCGGAGATCGCTTGATTGATATTAGCTAGAGAGATGGAACACACAAATCCACCATACTCGAAAGAGATAGGTTAGGGAAGAAAGTAAGGTCAAAAAAGAAAAATATATTGGTGGCGGTTTGTCAATAGGGAGGGAGATGGCGACAGATAGTGTACAGGGCGCACGCCATACTCACCGAGGGGAAAGGACTAGTACGCGACGCGCGAAATGATAAACAGAACGAGGAGAAGAGTTGTAATTCAAAAATTGCCCCCGCATTGCCTTTCCTTTGACCCTTATTCCATATTAGCTAATTATTGCCTACCAATTACAACCGTCTAGTTGGCATAACCTAGAGACGCTGAGAATATAGCTGTAATTCGCTTGACTAGACAGTCATAAACGCGTTAAAACAGAAACCGGCTTAATTTAGCTAGTTCAGCTAAGCATTGAAGTAGAGATAGAAGAAACGGTACAGTAGTAAACGCTAGAATCCAGTCTGCCTATGGAACGCATCAGGCAAACATTAAGGCTGTCGCGGGATATGTCGTCGCGCACACCCCCGGGGGATACTCTTCATCCAGCAATACTAATAATAACTCATTTTGCGCTAGTTCAGGCAACAATATTGGAAAAGAGCTTGTGGGGTTATATGCCTGCAGGTGCAGTACATACGCAATAGCTGGAGGACAATACATTTCTCAAGCGACTTACTGTAAATCCTTTAAGAATAACGATATCTAGCAAATTTCAGTGCCAGATGGTAAATTAATCGATGATATATTCGGTACAAGAGCGCTATATTATAACACAACGTAAATACATATGTCATATCTATTTACCGAAGAAAACTAATTTCAACAATTACAAAACCTAGTATGCTTTCACGACATCGATGTCACGAGTACTGCGCCAACGGAAGCCCTCGCTGCGTGATGAGTGACTGTGGCGACGTCGTGGGGCAAGCGCATCTTGTGCCGTCCAGCAATCTTTATGGTGGACGTGAAACTTGATGAAAAAGTAGTATAAGTTGGCGTAAACGACGTGTGTGTTGGAGTATGACTATGTCTATGCCTATGTGCGCAGATGCGACGATAGAGATTCTATGACAAATCTTTTCTCAACGGATCGAATTGATGCGCCGGCGAATTTATTACCGCTGCGCTGTGATATCCATAAGATTTTCGATGAGGACATTTTGCTTTTATGCCCAAGAAGGTGATTTCTCGAGAAAAGAAAGAGAAGCATATGGAAGAGGCCCGAGAAACTAATGCGGAACAACTTTAGGGCGATGCTGAGAGAAGCGGCCCATCACCCAACTCACAACTTCCAGAAGCCTCATACAACTCTCCTCAGACCAACTCTCCTATTCACATAGTCGACCACGTCTTCAACTCGACTCCAAGTGGTGATCTCCCACAGCGCTTCCACAACAGAGCCATCCACGCCTTGCCGTCAACACTATCCATCGATATTCTTTTCGCCCGCTTCGCCTATACCATCTTCTCACCCTCAATATTGGAAGATTTTCTCGGCTCGGATAAAGGGCGGTATATTATACACTACAGAATATTCACTGCCCACCTGCTTACATTATAGGATATATCCTTCTGAGTTGGGTACAGGCGACGCTTAATGACGTCGCTGCACTCCAAAACAAAAGAATCTTAAAGATGAGAGTTATATGGCGCGTATACTCTGTCCATGGTGTCCACATATGCTCTCGCGCGTCCAATAACGATTCAACTTTGCGCAGACTTTCTGTTGTATTAATTTACGCCTTGTGTATATATCAAGCAGCGAAGATGAAGTGCTATAACGCTGGTGGGAATTGTCAGAGGTTTCTTGAATGCAAAGAAAAATTGAAGTGGCCGGTGAGGTTCAAGTGGTAGCACTTTAAAGTATCTTAGGCTCGTAGAAAGTCTTTGTTGGTCGTTGCCAATCAGCACTCCCCATCCGCCCATCGAGGTAGCCTGATGTGTCACACTGCGCTCAAGACTTAAAGGCGCGCTGTCTTTATCCGGTATACCGCTGGCTACTTACTGTACTATCTCATTAGGTGGTTTTATGGATTACTGAGTGAGGCTCATAGCAAGTGATTGTACAGTAATTGTCGGTGTCCTCGGTGTAATTACACGTAAATGTGTCCGAGAAACAGTAATACTGAAAGCCATACATGCTTTGCCCATGCAATCCTCTGTGTTTCCACAAGAGATTTAAGCCTGCCTATATTCATGAGCCTTGAGGCTGCTTTCTACTGCGGAAACTCTCGCCCTAGGATGATTGGGCCTGTCGTAAACTCAGCATGGGGCTTAGAAAATAAGCCAGCTTAAAACTTTTCCGCAAGCGCCTACATGCTTGAAACGTCCAATCAACAAATACCGAGTATGTTCATCATTTCTTCCTATCGCTTCTTCGGATTTCACATTAGCTATAGCAGTGATTCTGCCTAGACTGGGAGCTATTCCGTTCTGAGATGCCATTTAGACCCAACCGCCCTGCGGCAAAACGACAAGTCATCAGGATGACACGCTTAGCCGGAAAACAATATGTTGTTGGGTCCAACGTACCTGCTCGTATTAGCACGAATGATAATGTAGGGCGACGTTGACCCTATGGTAGCAGCCTCAAGGCCCATGAATATAGGCAGACTTGAATCTCTCGTGGAAACAGAGGATTGCGTGGTCAAAGCATGTACAGTATGTACCGATAGCTTTCAGTATGTACTGCTGTACGAGTAAATGCAGCGGGGCGGCCGACATTAGCGCAGCGACTAGCCAAAACCTTGCATCCGGGTAGTATATCCAACCAACCGAGATGTGTTGTGTTGAACCCAACCAGAGAAGATCAATGAAAAAGGAACGGCTCGGTGCCTCTCTTTAATAATACGCACTTATGCGTCGTAATCCAAGCCCGCCCCTAATTCCAGCGCGCTGCTCGAATGCGGCCCATAGAATGGGTATACAAGTACAAGTAGAACAGTCGGATAGCGCAGGGTACGGGGGATCAACCCTCTTTAAAGCCCTGAGCAGCTCACACCACTACTCCAGATAGCATCGCCACTGCTATCTGTGTTTTCTTTACAGACTCAACCCCCTACAGACATCGCCTACTCCTACCTATCGGTCGTGGCTTGTTGATGCTTCACCCTTGTCCACAATAGAGCACTACACTGGTAGGCTTCGATTGGCTGCAAATGTCGATCTAGTCTTAAGCACCTGGAGCCCGGTCGAATCCATATACATGTACGGAGTACTTCGTATATTAGTTAGTATTATCATTACCCCGAAAAACGCTCCTTGGTGGCCAAGGCAGCGAATTCCCTTCTCGAAGTCATTGTCACAGCCTTCGTTGTGGCCTTTGGAGCCATTTTGTAGTGGATCTTGTTGGAGGGAACAACGACAGAGCGTTCGGCTATCAGAGTTTAGCTCAATCTTGTCAGAGCCCCAGAAGGCTTCCGTTTCGATATTTCTGAGCGGTGGTAGGACCATAAGCTCGTCATGGTCTCCACCACCGTCCAGCGAGGATGGCCGCCCTGGCACATAGCTACATGTACCCGCCACTTCGTAAGGCTTTTCCTGAGGCTCTGCCTGGGTTAGGTTAGGTCTGCCTAGGACGGGGCCGCCACGGCTCAATGTGCGCTACTCTCAACGTTTCCCCTCTTTTCTCAGATCGTTCTATACATACATTTCGCGAGATAGCTTGTGCGTGTACAATGCTGTCAGCAAAAATCATCATTTCCCTTTTAATTGATGCTTAAGAAAGCCCATTTTCTTCTTATCTCTTTATATATCATTGGGAAGTAAGAACCAAAAAATGAACCCCCCAATTAGCATGAGGAATACCCGTAGTAGAGAAGCCCCTCTCCCTCATTGTTACCGCACGGCATTTTAGACCCGTTTTATCTGGCAAGGCAGCTTTTTATTAGTATCGATACTGTCTCCTTCCGATCCCTTAAAAGCTCAGCCTCCCCTCCGGAAATTAGGTGTGCTCGTGTCCTCTCTTCACTAGGCGGCAGTGCGCGTGCGAGCAAAACCTCTACTGCCACTCAAATCTTGTTATGACGACTGATACCGTGTCATACAAAATTTCCAAAACTGCCATTCTGACTACGAGAACAGTACCGCACAAACCGTACATTGACACCGTTCCATCTCTCTCTTGACCGTGGCATGCGCATTAGTTTTCTCTGAGATAATTATAGATAAACAGGAACAACAACTGCCAAGTATCTTTTGGGGCTCCCAAGGTGCAAGTGTCATGCCACCAGCAGGTACGCCGGGTAGACCCGGATCGCAGGGGATGCGTCCTCGGTTCTTCATTGGTATCGGCCTCTCTATCTCTCATGGGGAGTCTCTTGGCCACAACGACCACAGCAACCCACATGAACAGTAAGCTGGATCATAATCATAATCCTATGTCTCTCTAGAACGCTGTCTTGTCCTGAGAGCTAATCGAGACCGCTTGATCCCAGACTCATTTATGCTATTCTCCGGAGTGAAGTGTCACTACAAGCAGCTGGCCACAATAGAGAAAATTCAGAGCCTCTATGGCATTTCTTTGGAAATAACCCACACCGAACGGAAATATCAAACGCTGCGCCGGCAGTATCGGAAGAAGCTCTTGCTAAACTGATTCGACCAGTAGACGCTTCCCTGTTGCATGACAAATCAAAGACAGGATGCACTATCTGTCTCGAAGACATAAAAGCAGGAGAGTTGGCAGCGTGGCTGCCCTGCAACCACTGGTATCACAAATCATGCGTCATCCCGTGGCTTAAAAAGTTTGATTCATGCCCGATTTGCCGTGCCTCGATCGAGAAGGGCCATGAAATTGGCAGCGACGACAGCGCGCATAATAATGCAAATGAACCTGACTTCAGAGCGTTGGGACTGATACAGCGAGATGGTCCATTCAGGGTTGGGCAGAGCAGCGGCTCGATTCCAACCTCGTCGTTCCCAAGCAGCCTGCCGCAAAGCCGGCAAGAACCAGCATGTCCCGGTGATCAATGGGACACTTCTGGTCTTGTTAAAAGGTGGCTGGGCTCCTAAATGATTTCCGATTACGTTTATAAACAAGGAGAAATGGGATCATTAATCGAAACACGTGAGGCCATACTGCTCCGCATCCAGTTATTTACAATACATAACGCGCTCTTACGGGTGCACCGGTTCATTGTCGAAAATTATTCTAGTTGCTCCGTGTTGAACACGCCATAATTTGTATTTTGCTACCTAATATCCTCTACCTGCGATTATACGTATATGATGCTGCTCCCCCACTCAGAATAATCCTTGTTTGTTCCTCTCGGAGAAGCTACAAACTGGTCTAAAAAGAATGATTCATCAGTCCGATGATCAATTGGAGTAGTGTTTTATGCTCGTTTTCGTCGCATAGGAATTTATATGTCTCGACGCCTAGCGAAGCTCCTGAGACCAAGCGAGGCAGGAAATGGGAGAGAAAAAAATTCCCCGCTTTAGAGCAAGACTACAGGGCTTGCCACAGTACCTGATGAGTCCGTCGTGCGCACTGGGCCACCACAGAAACTACTTTTCCTCCTTGTCTTTGCGGATGAGTTCCTGGCTGTGCGGGTAGTGGAAAAGCCAATGGCTCCCGAGGAACGACCTCTTTAGTTCCTGCCGCCACTTGCAGGCGTCATCGTTCCCCCGCGCGGTCCTGACGGCGTGAAGCTCTGAGCTTTGGCGTTCGAACTGGTTGTCCTTGTACTTCCAGAACCAGGTGAACAACAACGCGGATGTCCTTTACTGGTGTTCCTTCAGCATGGCCTCCTTCGCGCTGTCGTAGTAGGGAGGCATCTCCCCAGCTTAGGCGGCCTTTACGCATTCTGGCGCTATCAGCGACTTACCACGAGTAGCGTTTGAGCAATGCAGCCTGCATAGAAGCTGCAGATCTTTGGAGACGTAGCCCAATGCTGAAGAGGCAGGCCCAGTGGCTTCAAGCACTGCGGAGTTGGGAGCAATAGGCTTAAAGAGCTCCGGAAAGTGGTCCCTAGCAACGTCGTCTGACTCAAAGATGCGGTCTGCTAGCAAGGCTTGAATAATACGGACAAGTTTATCTTCGGAATAAAGCCAAGCAGACAAGGAGTGACTTCGGATTATTTCACGGATTCGCTTAGCTTTCCGGAGCTTGGCAAGATGTGGTTATCCAAATACCTGTCTACAGTCTCGTTGATGGTAGACTGCTTTTTTATTAACCATCGAGGGCTGGTACGGCTGCGGCATCCGATTCTGTTGAGATAGTTAGGCCAGCTAGGCCAGCTGATGTGGGAGCAGAGCTATGGTGCTTACCCTAAATCTGAAGCTCTAGAAGTTCAGAAGTCCAGATCACAATGAACCTTTGGTCGGGAGTTTGGAACGGTTGTAAAGTAGTAGAATTAAGCTAAGGGTTGAGCAGTGTTCCAGCCCGATTTTAGTTCTCTAGTAGTGAAAGCTGTGAAAGTCAACAGTTAAAAGAGCGGTGGCGGGCGGGGCACAATTGAGTTCCGTTTATTAATGTTATTCTATCCAAAAGTCAGGCTTTACCCCTTACTATTATAGAAAAAGCAGGATATTCTTGAATAAAAAGGCAGATTTCCTAACCTACTATAAGCTACGTAAAAATAATTCTATGCGTCGCGTTGTAACCTTTTTCAACCGTTCGAGTCCGCGTAAATTACCGCTTTAAGTTTTGCAGTCATCACACTAACCCATTTGAGTTTTGCGGTCAATGTTGTCAATGTTCTGGCCTAGAATAATAATTTAATATACTGACTAGCCCAGTTTGCGTATTGTGAGAATTTGGCAGTTGTAAACTAGAAACCTACATACATGTACTTCCGTGCACATCTCAGGAAAGCAAAGCCGTGCACCGTGGTCGTACCTTTTCGCTGCCATTGTGATTATAGTATCGATAGCAGAGCTTCGAATTCTAGATCCATGATATTGGACCATATTAAGAGCTGCTTCCGCAAAGCAGGCCGAGCGAAGAGACCGTCGCCAGCAGTAAAAGACAGCGGGGCGCATCATTTAAGCGCCTCTTCGGCCTTTCAATGTCTCTGCAACAAAATCCTGTCCAGCAAACATAACTTTCGCAGACATCTCCAAAAAAGGAAACCGTGCGATATTTTCGTTGCCATTGCGATTACTTGATTGAAAACAGAACCGTGAATTCGAAGGTTGTGATATTGTAACGATCCGTTATACCGTTAAGCCACAGGGCAAAAGATTAGGCCAATAACCACTATTGTAGCAGTTACTGTAACGGAACCAGCTGTTTATAAGGGATCTAACTGTTAACGAGGGACCAGGTCGTAACACTACCCCTAGCATAGTGGGTCATACAAGGGTTAATTAAATCAACTCTACTAGAGTTGATCAGAGCCTTACCATTGTAGGCAAACGGTTGAGGGTTACCAGCTTACAGTCTTACCCCTTGAGCCTGACAACTTCCTGCTTTGCTAACCTACCTTTTCTCCTCTTCTCACTATCTCTTGCCTTTGCTTCCGCCACACTACGCCGTTGCCTTCACTTTCCAAACCCTAGCCTCTACCCTCGCTTTAGAGTTAGAGTTAGGGTCAACTGTAGGGTTACTGGCCGCTTCGTTCTCACCCTCCTTCAGTCGACAAAGCTCTTTACACAAAAGCAGCACCTGCCCAAACAGCCAAAGCTCGTTCAAAGGGCAACTTCCTTCACACACCGCCTTTGTTCAAAGGACCACACTTGTTCGTCTGTTCAGGGAGTCTGTCTTTGCTTAAAGAACTGCTCTTGTTCCAAAACAATGTCTATTCAGAGACCGCGCTTAGTTTAAGAGACTGCCCTCGTAAAAAAAAAAAAAAAAAAAAAAAAAAAAACACTTGCTGTAAACACCCTTCTCCTTCACGAGGTAGCGCCAGTTTAGAAGACCGCACTTGTCGAAAGCGCCGCGCTCCTTTGAGAGACCGCCCTTGGGTGAAAGGTCGCAGTTGTTCGACGGACCTCACTCGCTTGAGAACCTCGTTGGTTCGAGAGACCCCACTGGTTTGGGAGACCCCACTTGTTTGGGAGACCTCGCTGGTTTAAGAGGCCGCACTGGTCTGAGAGACCGTAGTCGTTTGAGAGACCGTCGTCGTTTGAGAGGCCTTACTGGTTTGAGGGGCCTTACTGGCTCGAGAGACCGTAGTTGTTCGAGACGCCACGCTGGTTCGAGAAACCGTAGTCGTTTGAGACGCCTCACTGGTTTGAGACGCCTCACTTGTTGGAGGGATCCCAGTTGTTTGTGAGGCCGAACTCGCTTGAGAGACCTCACTCGTTGGAGCGAACACCGCTCCCTTCAGATGTCGCCCTTGTCCAGTCAAGCAGCCCTTGTTCAACACACCACGCTTGATATCAAGTCCGCTCTTCTTCACCAGCCAACGCTTGTGCAAAGAACAGACCGCCTGTACCAAAGCCACGCCTGCCTGAAAAAGGATCACTGGTCCGCAAAACTGCGCTCGTGTAAAAGACGCTGCTCGCAGAATAGCCACGCTTGTGTAAGGAAACGATAGTTGTTCGAAAAAGAGCCCTTGTATAAGGGGCACAGCTCGTTTGAATAACCACTCGGCTTTCAAAAGCAATACTTATCCGAAAGAAAAAAGGCAAATCTGCTTCAGAAAACAACCCTTGTGTAAAAAGCAGCACTCATGTAAAAAAAAAAAGGGCATATACACAAGAGAGAGCTTGTAACTCATCCAGCATATATAGGCAACATATATGAAGGCAGAGTATAAGGCGGTGTCTTAAAGCAACGAATAAAAGCGACGAATAAAAGGGTTAAATAAACAAGGGAAATAAAAAAAAAAAAAAGATAAGAAGATATAAACGAAAGGGATAAATAAAAGCAGTGCATTAAGGCGATGAACAAAGCCGGTGCATCAAGGCGATGAATAAAGCCGGTGCATCAAGGCGATAAACAAAGCCGGTGCATCAAGGCGATGAACACAGCCGGTGCATCAAGGCGATGAACACAGCCGGTGCATCAAGGCGATGAACACAGCCGGTCTGTTGAAGTAATAGGAAAAAGGTATGTATGAAAGAGGTAGGAAGGCATCGTGCGAAAAAGTCGTGCGAAAAGTTGTGTGAAAAGTCGTGCGAAAAGTGGTGCGAGACAATCGCGGAAAAAGGCTGTAAGAAAGCTTGTAAGAAAAGGCAATGGGAAAAGGTCAAAAAAAACACTCCAAAAATCCGGGCGCACCCCAAATATAAGTGTCTACCTTAGCCTAAACGCCTACCTGCTTGGCTTAAACCCATTTAGACCCATGTTCTTATCTAATCCTTCTTCCCCTGCTCTTATAGCCCCCCTGTCTCATACCCCTACCCTTTTGCCCAGTATATCCATCCTTTTGATCATAGCTGCAGCTACACCTATAGCTTTTTTTCTTCTAGCCCTCAAGTTCAATCTTCTCTTTAGCCCAGCTGCGAGCTGACTTATTCTTGTGGCCCTGCGCTTGTTATTCCTTAGCGCTAAGGCCCGAAACAGAGACCATGGCCCCACCATGTACTGTACAGCTAGTATTGCTGCATGCATGTGCTATAAAGGCCCGTGCCGCCCTGCTTAATTCATCAGTCAGATTGACGTTTGGGAATATATAAGTTCCGCCACTCTACAACCCACCTTCTTAGCGTCATATCCACCCTCCCCCATTCCAGCCAGCCAACAGCAGAGGATATATCTCGAACTGTCTCTATATCATTCTTAAACCATCGTTTATTTTAAAACAGGCTCTCTATCATTCTGCAGATATGACGCCAATCTTGCATCTCCCTCCAGAGATCACTGGCTACTTAATCGAACATCTATCGCTTGACGATCTCTTATGCCTACGCCAAACGTGCCACACGCTAAATCATAATACATTTCACCTATTCGCCCCTAATGTATTTACCAAAAATCACTTTGGCATGCGCCGCGTTATGCTTGAGCGCCGAAGCTTGGAAGCCTTAGCTCATATTGCCGAGCACCCTACTCTTGGTCCGTTGATCAAAGAAGTGGAAATAAGTACCAATCATCTCTTGCCGCTTGATGAGCTCCGCAAGATTAAACCGCCTTCTAGACCTATATCAGAGATCGAGGCCATGTTAGAACGCAGGAGAAATGGCCAAGATGAAGAGACCGGGGAAGAAGAAGTAGAGGAAGAGGAGGAGGAAGAGGAGGATGAAGAGGAGGATGAAGAGGAGGATGAAGAGGAGGATGAAGAGGAGGATGAAGAGGAGGATGAAGAGGAGGATGAAGAGGAGGATGAAGAAGATGCAAGTAACGAAGGATCCGAGAGCAATCATCATCGCTACTACCCTCACCTACGCCTTCTAAACAAAGAGGCTTATCGCAAGGCTTTTCATGACCAGGAGGAACTCATCCGGTGCGGAGACGACATCAATTATCTCACGCGGGCTATGAAAAGCCTTGTTAATTGCGTTACCATAAGAATCACTGATGATAATCGGATCTGGGGCTTAAAGCGTCTGCAGAAAGAAATCGGCATACTCCCGCAGAGGTGTCTTACCTTTAAGTCGCCAAAAAGTGTCGAGCTGGTCCGCCGAATGCTACATGCTCTGTTTACTGCACTTGCCGAGGGCAACGCCTCCATTGACTTCCTAGAGATTACTTCTGGCTCCGTTGTCGAGAATGCTAACCGCATAAGCCCCGACATGCTCGTTAAGCCCACATCCGCGGCTTTGGATAACTTTCGGCTTCATACCTTAACTACTCTGTCTCTCAATCTCGATTCAAAGTCTCCCGAGCATAACGCTACTTCGATTGACTGGTCATACGACCTGATTCAATTCCTCCATCGATTTCCGGAGCTCTCTCAGTTTAGTATCGAGTTTGAATACCGCGATGAAGACAGAGGCAGCTTTACCGGCTCCCCTGAATGGCGGTCATCAGACTTCCACACGACGAACTACGCTACCTATACCCGCTTCTCGAAGCTTTCTCAGTTGCTTTTTATCCCAAAGCTGGAGATTGTCCAGTTAGGGCTGTTTGACTGCACTGGCATGGAACTTGCCCTTTTTCTCCTTCGCCACCAGAGTACGCTAAAAGATATTCACCTTGATGGTATTGTTCTTATTGATGCCGATGGTGAAATTGGGAGCTGGCTTTGGCTCCTTGAGGTAATTCGAGATGCTTTTCAGAAAATTACATCCTTTATTATGGAGAATTGCATAAATGGCGACATGTGCAGCTTGCTTAGCCT